CTCAAAACCACTTCTAGACACCAAGCCTCCCATGGTGCTCAAGACTACTGCAGTGACCAGACCTCCAATGGCAGCCAAATCACTTATGGTCACCAAGCCTACCGTGGTGCTGAGACTTCCAGTTATACGTAAACCACTTGCAGTCAACAAGTGTCCTACAGTCACCACACAGAGTCCAAGCGTCCTGCGGTAAACAGGCCTCGAGTGGTGGCCAAAGCACTTATGGACACCCAGCCTACTGTGGTGCTGAGGCCTTCAGTGGTGCCTGAAGAACTTACGGTCACCAAGCATCCTAGAGTCACCATGCCTCCTACAGAGCCCAAGTCTCCTGCACTGCCCATCTCCCCAGTGGTCTCTAAACCACGAAGACACCAAGGCACCTGCAGTGCCCAGGCCTCAATTGTTCTACAACCCACTTACAGACACCAAGCCTCCCATGGTGCTCAAGACTACTGCAGTGACCAGACCTCCAACGGTGGCCAAATCATGGTCACCAAGCCTACTGTGCTGCCGAGGCCTCCAGTTATACGTAAACTACTTAGGGTCACCAAGTGTCCTAGAGTCACCATGCCTCCTACAGAGCCCAAGCATCCCGCAGTGTCCAGCCCACAAGTGCTCTCCAGCCCACTCAAGGACACCATGCCTACCATGGCTGTCAAGACTACTATAGTGCCCAGGCCTCCAGTGGTGGCCAAACCACTTACGAACACTAAGCCTACTGTGGTGCCCAGGCCTTCAGTGGTGTGTAAACAACTTATTGTCACCAAACGTCCTAGAGTCACCATGCCTCCTACAGAGCACAAGCATCCTGCAGTGTCCAGGCCTCCAGTGGTCTCTAAAACACAGACACCAAGTTGCCTGCTGTGCCTAAGCCGCAAGTGGGCATACCACTTATGGGCACCAAGTTACCTGCGGTGCCCAGCCCACAAGTGCTCTCCAGCCCACTTACAAACACCAAGCCTCCCATGGTGCTCAAGACTACTGCAGTGCCCAAGACCTCCAATGGTGGCCAAACCACTTACGGTGACTAAGCCTTCTGCATTGCCGAGGCCTCCAGTGGTGAGTAAACCACTTACGGTCACAAAGAGTCCTAGAGTCGCCATGACCTTCTATGGAACCCAAGCCTCCTGCAGTGGCCAGGCCTCCACTAATCTCCAAATCACAGACACAAAGCCTACTGTAGCGCCGAAGCCTCCAATTATACGTAAACCACTTATGGTCAACAAGTGTCCTACAGTCACCAAGAACCAGACAGAGGCCTAGCGTCCTGCGGGGCCCAGGCCACAAGTGCTCTCCAACCCACTTACAGACACCAAGCCTCCCATGGTGCTCAGGACTACCGTGGTAAACAGGCCTCCAGTGTTGGCCAGACCACTTACGAACACCGAGCCTGCTGTGATGCTGAGGCCTTCAGTGGTGCCTAAAGAACTTAAGGTCACCAAAAGTCCTAGAGTCACCATGCCTCCTACAGAGCCCAAGCCTCCTGCATTGCCCAGGCCTCCAGTGGTCTCTAAACCAATTACAGACACCAAGGTACCTGCGGTGCACAGGCCTCAAGTAGTCTCCAGCCCACTTATAGACACCAAGCGTCCCATGGTGCTCAAGACTACTGCAGTGCCCAGACCTTCAGTGGTGGCCAAAGCACTTACGATCACCAAGCCTACTGTGGTGCAGATGGCCTCCAGTGGTGGGTAAACCACTTATGGTCACCAAGAGTCCTAGAGTCACCATGCCCCCTGTAGAACCCAAGCCTCCTGCGTTGCCCAGGCCTCCAGTGGTCTCAAAAGCAGTTACGGACACCAAGTTACCTGCGGTGCCCAAGCCACAAGTGCTCTCCACACCACTTACGGGCACCAAGTTACCTGCGGTGCCCAAGCTACAAGTGCTCTCCAGACCACTTACAGACAACACGCCTCCCATGCTGCTCAAGACTAGTGTGTTGCCCAGGCCTGCAGTGGTGGCCACACCACAGGGACACCGAGCCTACTGTGGTGCCGAGGCCTCCAGCAGTGCGTAAACCACTTAAGGTCATTGAGAGTCCTAGAGTTACCATGCCCCCTATAGAGCCCAAGCCTCCTGCAGTGCCCAGGCCTCCTGTGGTCTCCAAATCATGTAGGGACACAAAGCCTAACGTGGTACCGAGGCCTCCAGTGGTACGTGAAAAACTTATGGTCACCAAGAGTCCTAGAGTAACCATGCCACCAACAGAACCCAAGCCGCCAGAAGTGCCCTGGCCTCCAGTGGTCTCTAAACCACTTACAGACACCAAGCTACCTGAAGGGCCTAGGCCTCAAGTTGTCTCTGTCCCACCCGTAGTCCTCCATGGTGGGAGACCACATGCCCACATTCATCTGGATGAGGCGGGGAAGTGCTGTGCACTACTGGCAGCTACTGAACCACCAAATGGTAAACCACCGGCACTGGAGCCTTCACCACCAAGGTGAGAGCCTGGAGACACCGAGGATGCAGTCCTGGGGATGAACAGGGGTGGCAGCGGGTCCAGCACTGACTGCCACCCTTGTCCATCTACAGAGGAGGGGCTGTGTGTCAACCTCCAAACCCTGCCCTCATTCTACCAGGCGGATCCCACCACCTTCTTCCCAGGGTGCTACCGGCTCGGGGACGAACACCAAGCCTTCATCGGTGAGCTAGAGCTGTTGCCCTTCTGCCCCCCTGCCAAATCCCATGTACCCTGTGTCCTGGGCAGGAGAGGGTGAGGACAACAGAAAACCTTTGTAGAGGATTTCCGCCTGACAGCAGCTCACAGCCTGCTCAAACTGGCTGTGGAGAAGCCTGGCATCATGCAAGGGGGGATGGAGTCACCTGGCAAGGGGGCAGCTGAGTGTGTGGAGATGGGCCTGGTGGGGATGGTGAGGAGCTCAGGGCCATGGCTGTGGGCTGAGCCTCTGCCTGGCGCTGTGGCTTGGGACCCTGATGCACCCAAAGCCAAGAATCCCAAGGGTAGCCAGCAGCCATGCCCCTCAGTCTATGCCACTTCCAGCAGGTCCAGCATCCCCATCACCCCGATATGCTGGAGAAAGCACTGCAGGTCTGCAGATTGCAGCTGGACAGGCTGGAGCACACAGACATTGACAGGGACTCCCCAGTGCTCCGTGTCACCGACGGACTGCTTCCTGCATGAGTACTACCGTGTGGTGAAGTGCGTGTGGGGCGGAATGGGGTTGGGGGGCCACGCAGCATGGCAGTGCTGGTGCTGAGCCCCCCGTGTCACCACCCTGCAGCGAGCAGGCGAGGCTGGAGCCAAGCATTCCTCAGCTGAAACAGTGCAGGGCACTGCTGCAGAAGCTGCAAGTGCGGCTGCCCCAGCTCCACACGGAGGGCCTTCACAATCTGTGGATAATCAAGCCCGGAGCTATGTCCCCTGGTAGAGGTGAAGGCAAGGGGAAAATGGGGTTTGGGCACAGGCTTCCTGGTGAGGAGGGGTCTCACCGGCACCATGTGTCCCCGCTCACAGGCATCACCTGCTCGGCACGGCTGGAGGAGATCCTGGAGCTGCCTGGGAAACTACCCTGTGACTTGATATGGTCCAGCCACCAGTTGCAGCTTCACCTGCATCAAGTGGGGCACACGGAGGCCTGGGGGAAGGTGACTGCCAGGCATGAAGGAGGCGGTGGTGGCTGCGCTGCACAGGGGCTGGGAGCTGGTGAGGGACCGCAAGAGCAGCTTCGAGCTCTACGGGGCCGATTTCATGTTCGGGGAGGATTGCCAGCCGTGGCTGCCAGAGATCAACGTCAGTCCCACCATAGCGCCCTGCTCAGCAGTGACCCGACAGCTCTGCGCTGCCGTCCAGCGTGACATACTGCGTGTGGTCCTGGACCACAGGGGGAACCCCGGCTGCTCCACTGGAGCCTTTGAACTCATCTACAAAGAGGTGGGTTTGGAGGGGCTGTGGGATAGGCTGCTCTCTGCTCCCAAGGAACAAGAGAAAAAAAAAAGCCTCAAGCTACAGCAGGGGAGGTTTAGACTGGGGATTAGGAACAATTACCTCCCCCAAAGGGGCGGTCAAGAATTGGAACAAGCTGCCCAGGGAAGAAGGAGGTCACTGTCCATGGAGGGGTTCAAAACCTGTGTAGAAAAGGCCCTTAACAGCGTGAGTTAGAAGTGGCCTTGGCAGTGGTGGGGAACAGTTGGACTTGATGATCTTAAGCTGTTTTCCAACCCAGTTGTTTCAATATCTCCCTGCAGCCCATCGTGCCAGTGCCTCCCTGCCTGGGACTGAAGCTGGTGGTGGAAGTGTACTCGCTAATGAAGCCCCAGCTGCAAAAACAGCAACCCAGGACAAACTCCCCACCACCCTGCCTCTTGTCTACCCGGTGGTGCCCAAGTCACTAGTGGTGGCCTAAACCACTTATGAACACCAAATCATCTGTGGTGCCCATGTCACTCGTGGTACCAAAGCCGCCTGTGGTGGCCAAACCACTTACAGCCATCAGCCCATGGTCACTAAGCAATCTATAGAGACCAGGCCTCCAGTGGTACCTAAGCCATTTATGGTCACCACACGTCCTACAGTCACCAAGCCCTCGATAGAGTCCAAGCTTCCCAGGGAGCCTAAACCACTTATGGTCATCACGTGTTCTATGGTCACCAATCCCCCTACAGACTCCAGGCCTCCTGTGATGCCCAAGTGGGGCAGAACCACTCAGCTCCCACGGGCTGGAGAAGCACAGGTCAAGGCGGCTGCTCTGACGCAACTGCACTTGCGCTTCTCCAGCTCTGCCCCCCAGGCACCACCACAGCCAAAACCCCTGCTCCAGTGGGTTCAGGCCACTATGAGCAAGCCTGGGGCTACTGTCCTGACCAGGGCACCCACTCAACCAGATGCAGTCCCACCAACAGCTCTGACTGCGTGTCCTGGGCAGCAGAGCTGTGTTGCTGGCAGCAGACATGAAGCAGCGCCCAGGAGCAGGCAGAAAAGCTGCAACAATAAGGCCATGAAGAAGGGAACAGCATCCTGCCCCCACCCTAAGTGGGACAACATGACGGTAACCACTTCCCCCTACCTGAACCAGAATCCACCATCGCACAGGGACACACATCCCACCAGCCAAGGGGGTGAATGGAATCAGTTTGCAGAGGTGAAAGCCATCCAGCTCGCCTGGCACATTGCTGAACACGGAAAGCGGGCAGTACTTTATACTGACTCAGGGATGGTGTTCAAATGCCCTTCGGGGGTGGTGGCAGCAATAGAAGACAAGGAAATCAGCAAGATGAATCTGTCTGCCAACACCAGGGCCCACATCTTGGGGGAAGAATTCCTTAAGAACCTGAGGGTCAGGAACAGGAGGAGGCCGATCCCTCATGTCCTCGAGAGAGGACGCCTTCAGCACCGTCGCGGGGGGAAGCTCAGCGTCCAGGAGCCTCAGTTCAGAGCGGCGGGAGCCCCCTGAGGAAGCCTCAAGCCCTCGATAGGATTTGCCTACGAGCCTGCAGCTCAGCTCACGCGAGCAGAAACTCACAGTGGCAGCGCCAGCACGGGCGGCACCAGCCCTGAGGGGTTAAAAACCCGCCTCAGGGAGCGCGGCAAACAGGGCGTGGCGAGCCAGTTTGCGCGGGCAGGCGAGGGGGATGGTGAGCGCTCGCCGTACGAGCTGGGCGCGGTCTGGGAGCTGTGCTCTGGGTGTCCCGGCGGTGGTCAGCGTAGGCACCCAGACAGAGCAGATGAGAGGGGAGAGTGCAGAGCAGAGCTCGGAGTGCAGAGAGTGCCTGCACCGGTCTGGTGAGGGGAGGGTGCACTACGGGCGGGGCTGCACCCGGTGCTCCCTGAGCTGCGGGGAGCTGCCAAGAGGCTGAAAGATGTCAGGGAAGCTGGGAGGAAGCAGGACTGCTTGCTCCAGGCCCAAACTGTGCAGGGGCCGCAAGCGTCCACTGTGGCTCATGGAGGAAAAAAGGAGGCCGTTAACGCAGGAAGCTGGGAAACAGCAACAAAACACAAAAAGGAGAAGTAAAAGGAAGGGGCTTCCTCCCAAATCTGATGTCCCCGCCCAGACCCGCTTTGCTGTCCTGAAGGGGGCTAATGAGGAAACACACTTGCACCAGGAACAAGCTGGCTGGTGCACTAGTAAAGAATGTCTCTACTGGTGCTCCCAGGAAAAAGCGGCAGGGTCGTAGTAGGAGGAGACTGCTTTGAAAGGGACAGAGGCACACACAGCCTGACCCAGTCTCAAGGGAGGTGTGTTGCCTACCAAGGACACGGATCAGGGATGTTGCAGAGAGGCTGCCTGCTCTAGTAAGTCCCACTGACCATTAGCCACTTCTAGTGATCCATGTGGGTGCTAGTGATACAGATAGCAGCAGCCCAGAGAACGTTAAGAAGGACTACAGAGCCCTGGGAGAGGTGGTTAGGGGCTCTAGAGCTCAGAAAGTCTTTTCATCAATTCCCCAGGATAAAGGGGAGGACCTTAAAAAGGCTAAGCAGATTTGCCAGGTTAAGAAATGGTTAGAAGGGTGGTGCCATAGTCAGGGGGTTGGGTATCTAGATCATGAGATTTGATTTTGAGGGTGTGGAACTCTGTCTCGGCACAGTTGATCAGTCAACAAAGAGTTTGTGGGTCAGGGTTAAAGGGAGAACAGTAATGGGAGACATTACTGTGGGGATCGGTTACAGATTGCCCGATCAAGAGGACTCTCTGGATAAAGCGCTCTGTAGGGAAATAGGAACAGCCTCATGCTCTCAGGCCCTTGTCCTCATGGGGGACTTCAACCACCCTGATATCTGTTGGAGGGACAGTATGGCCCGGCACAAGCAATCCAGGAGGTTCCTCGATTGTGCGGAAGACAACCTCCTCCCGCAAGTAATAGAGGAGCCAACAAGGAGAGGTGCCATGCTTGACCTCGTGCTCACAAACAGGGAAGGGCCGGTTGGAAATGTGACGCTCTAGGACAGCCCTGATTGCAGCGATCATGAGATGGTCGAGTTCGAGATCCTCAGGACAGTGAGAAGAGCATGCAGCAAGCTCACTGCCCTGGACTTCTAGAGAGCAGACTTTGGCCTCTTCAGGAACCTGCTTAATAAGGTTCCATGGGATATAGCCCTAGAAGGAAGTGCAGCAGGAGGGCCAGGAGAGCTCCTTGGTTGGGTAAGGAGCTGCTGAGGAAACATCAAGGGAAAAAAGAGGCCTATCAAAGGTGGAAGCAAGGACAGGCAGCATGGGAAGAATACAGGGATGTTGTTTAGGAAGCTAAGGCCCAGTTAAACTTGGCTAGGGATGTGAAAGATAACAGGAATGGATTCAGTAGGTACACTCCAAACAAAAGAAAGACTACGGACAACATGGGCCTTCTCCAGAAGCCATGGGACTGGGGACACAGGGCCAGCAGCTCAGCCTGGCTTGTCCTTAACAGCTCCTGCCAGCACCAAGCAGCAGCCCTCTGTCAACAAGGAGCTGCTGAAGAGGGCCAGACAGCATGTGAAGGAGGCCATCAAGGTGGGACCCGATTACACGCACACACCCCACAACATGCCATGAACATGCGCCTGTTGCATTTATGGCTGAGCGCTTGTGTCCTTCCCCAGGAGAAAAAGATCTTCGCAGTGCAGGGCCCCTACCCTGTGATGCGCAAGCTGCTGCGGGCACGAGGCTGGGTGGAGGGGAAGTTCTCCACCACCATCAAGGTGGGCACTCGCTCAGTGCAGCAGGACACCAAAAAGCAGCTGGAGGAGAAGCAGGAGGATGGCAGTGGTGAGGAGCAGTGGGAGGCAGCGCTCCATCCAGAGCCAAGGTCGGCATCCTGTTGGACTCAGTGCTGGGTCAAGATCTTGGAGGAGGAGGAGGAGGAGGAGAAAGAGCAGGAGGAGGTCCCGTGGTATGCTGAGGACCCTGATGGCATCCAGGACATCATGGTTAGTGGAGAGGGGCAGGGCTGGACTCCGCAGGGCACAGCCTGGGCTGGGTGGTGAGGCTGGGATGAGGACTCCTCAGCTGACTCTGGTCCCCTCTGTCGCTCCCGTGATCCTCCATGGTGCGAGACCGCATGCCCACATTCATCTGGATGAGCCGGGGAAGTGCCATAAGCTACTGGCAGCTCCAGGACCACCAAATGGTACACCACTTCAACGGCACTGGAGCCTTCACCACCAAGGTGAGAGTCTGGAGACGCCGAGGATGCAGTGCTGGGGATGAACGGGGTGGCGGCGGTTCCAGCACTGACTGGCCCATCTACACAGGAGGGGCTGTGTGTGCATATATATATATATATATATATATATATATACACATGAGACAAAAGCAAAAATACATTGAAAAATGTGCGATCTGAGCATGATGTAAATGGTATGGAATAAGGAGTGGGTATTGTGCTGTGTTCATCTGTAACAAGCACAAGCTGGTGGACTTTGTCGTCCGCTTCATGGAGGAGATCCACAAGAAAATCAGCAAGATGAAGCTGTCTGTCAACACCAGGGCCTGCATTGTGGAGGAGGAATGCCTTGAGAACCTGAGGATCTAGAATGGGAAAAGGCAGATCCCTCATGTTGGGATTTTGGGAGCGGGGTGCGGGCCTCACCAGAGTGCCTTTTGTGCCCAGAGCCCCCAGTCTCATCTGTGGGAACAGCGGTGCCATTGTGCCCAAGACCCTCTCAGGGACAGGGCAGGAGGATGCCCCAGGTTGCTTGCACCCCCTGTGCTGGGGAAGGGCTGGGTTTGAGATGCCAAGAGCACGGTGAGGGGCCTGGCAACAGCCACTGGGGACGCAGCCCCATGGCCCCGGGGCACACAGGGGCTCACAGCTGCCTCTCTTCTCTTGGCTTGCAGTGCCCGGGGCCCATAGAGCTCCTGGTACCTAAGGCAGGGGCATGTAACGCGCCGGGCCGTTGGATGCCTCACCTGGCTGCTCCAGGCGACCTATGACACAGGAGGGCTGGTGTTTGTCCACCTTCAGGTCAGTGAAGCCAGTGCAGAGGCCAGGGCTGGTGCAGGGGCTGGGGAGTTCCATGTGCTGGGCCCCACCTCGGTCCCCACAGGGAGAGGGGAAGCGCTTGGGCCTGGGCTGGACTCCGCAGGGCACAGCCTGGGCTGGGTGGTGAGGCTGGGATGAGGACTCCTCAGCTGACTCTGGTCCCCTCTGTCGCTCCCATGATCCTCCATGGTGCGAGACCGCATGCCCACATTCATCTGGATGAGCCGGGGAAGTGCCATAAGCTACTGGCAGCTCCAGGACCACCAAATGGTACACCACTTCAACAGCACTGGAGCCTTCACCACCAAGGTGAGAGTCTGGAGACGCCGAGGATGCAGTGCTGGGGATGAACAGGGGTGGCGGCAGGTCCAGCACTGACTGCCACCCTTGTCCATCAATACAGGAGGAGCTGTGTGTCAACCTCCAAAACCTGCCCTCGTTCTACCAAGCAGATCCCACCACCTTCTTCCCAAGGTGCTACCAGCTCGGGGATGAAGATGAACATCAAGCCTTCATCGGTGAGCTGGGGCTGCTGCCCTTCTGCCCCCCTGCCATATCCCATGTATCCTGTGTCCTGGGCAGGCCAGGGTGAGGACTACACAAATCCTTTGCAGAGGATTTCCGCCTGACAGCAGCTCACAGCCTGCTCAAACTGGCTGTGGAGAAGATTGGGATCGTGCCAGGAGTGATGGAGTCACCTGGCAAGGGGGCAGGGGAGTGTGTGGAGATGGGCCTGGTAGGGATGGTGAGGAGCTCAGGGTCGTGGCTGTGTGCTGAGCCTCTGCTTGGGGCTGTGCCTTGGGACCCTGATGCACCCAAAGCCAAGCATCCCAAGGGTAGCCAGCAGCCATGCCCCTCAGTCCATGCCACTTCCAGCAGGTCCAGCATCCCCATCACCCCCTGAGCTGCTGGAGAAAGCGCTGCAGGTCTGCAGAATTGCAGCTGGACAGGCAGGAGTACACAGAAGTTGACAGGGACTCCCCACTGCTCCATGTCACCGTCCAGGACTGCTTCTGCACGAGTACTACCGTGTGGTGAAGTGCGTGCGCGGCGAGATGAGGTGGGGGGGCCACGCAGCATGGCAGTGCTGGTGCTGAGGCCCCTGTGTCACCACCCTGCAGCGAGCAATCGAGGCTGGAGCCAAGCATTCCTCAGCTGAAATACTGCAGGGCACTGCTACAGAAGCTGCAGGAGCGGCTGCCCCAGCTCCACATGGAGGGCGTTCACAAACTGTGGATAATCAAGCCTGGAGCTATGTCCCGTGGTAGAGGTGAAGGCAAGGGGAAAATGGGGTTTGGGCACAGGCTTCCTGGTGAGGAGGGGTCTCACCGGCACCATGTGTCCCCGCTCACAGGCATCACCTGCTCAGCATGGCTGCTCCCAGCCCTTCTCCCTGAGCCACCTACACGCGTGAGTGCCCCCCACCCTGGCACAGCACACCCCACACCCCAGCACCCTGTTGACCCATCTCTGCTCTCCCCACACCAGCTCCCGGCACCTCTGCAATGTGTCCATCCAGAAGCAGTGGAGGCAGGCTGCAGGCTCCAAACTACCCTGTGGCTTGATATGGTCCAGCCACCAGTTGCAGCAAGTGGGGCACACAGAGGCCTGGGAGAACGTGATTGTGCCAGGCATGAAGGAGGCGGTGGTGGCTACCCTGCACAGCTGCCGGGAACTGGTGAGGTACCGCAAGGGCAGCTTTGACCTCTACAGGGCCGATTTCATGTTCAGGGAGGACTGCCAGCCGTGGCTGCTAGAGATCAACGCCAGTCCCACCATGGCGTCCTGCTCAGCAGTGACCCGACAGCTCTGCACTGCCGTCCAGCGTGACATACTGCGTGTGGTCCTGGATCACAGGGGGATCCCCGGCTGCTCCACCGGAGCCTTTGAACTCATCCACAAAGAGGTGGGTTTGGAGGGGCTGTGGGATAGGCTGCTCTCTGCTCCCAAGGAACAAGCAATAGAACAAGAGGAAACAGCCTCAAGCTACAGCAGTGGAGGTTTAGGCGGGGGATTAGGAACCATTACTTCCCCCAAAAGAGTGGTCAAGCATTGGAACAAGCTGCCCAGGGAAGAAGGAGGTCACTGTCCATGGAGGGGTTCAAAACCTGTGTAGAAAAGGCCCTTAATGACATGAGTTAGTGGTGACTTAGGCAGTGGTGGGGAACAGTTGGACTTGATGATCTTAAGCTCTTTTCCAACCCAGTTGTTTCAATATCTCCCTGCAGCCCATCGTGCCAGTGCCTCCCTGCCTGGGACTGAAGCTGCTGGTGGAAGGCTACTCACTAATGAAGCCCCAGCTGCAAAAACAGCAACCCAGGACAAACTCCCCACCACCCTGCCTTTTGTCTGCCCGGTGGTGCCCAAGCCACTGGTGGTGACCACCAAATCATCTGTGGTACCCATGTCACCCATGGTATCCAAGCTTCCTGTGGTGGCCAAACCACTTACAGACAAGCAACCCATGGTCACTAAGCAATCGATAGTGCCCAAGCCTCCTGCCGTGCCCAGGCCTCCAGTGGTCTCCAAATCACTTATGGATACCAAGTTACCTGCGGTTCCCAGGCCTCAAGTGGTCTCCAACCCATGTACTGACATCAAGCCTCCCTTGGTGCTCAAGACTGCTGTGGTGTCCCGACCTCCCGTGGTGGCCAAACCACTTATGAACACCAAGACTACTGTGGTGTCAAGGCCTCCAGTGGAACCTAAACTCTTTATGGTCACCAAGCATCCTAGAACCATTATGCCCGCTAGAGAGCCCAGGCTTCCTGCTGTGCCCAGGCCTCCAGTGGTCTCCAAACCACTTACGGACGCCAAGCCTCCCATGGTGCTGAAGACTCCTGAGGTGCCCAGGCCTCCAGTGGTGGCCAAACCTCATGGACACCAAGCCTACTGTGGTGCCCAGCCCTCCGGTGGTGCCTAAGCCACTTACGGTCACCAAGCCTCCTATGGTCACCATGCCCCCTATAGAGCCCAGGTCTCCTACAGTGTCAAGGCCTCCTGTGATGTCCAAGTGGGGCAGAATCACTCAGCTCCCACCCCCTGGAGAAGCACAGGTCAAGGTGGTTCCTCTGACGCAATTGCACTTCTGCCTCTCCTCCGCCTCTGCCCCCCAGGCACCACCACAGCCAAACCCCCTGCTCCAGTGGCGGCAGGCCACTCTGAGCAAGCCTGGGGCTACTGTCCTGACAGGGAACCCGCACAAGCAGCCGCAGTCCCACCAACAACCCTGCCTGCATGTCCTGGGCAGCAGAGCCGTGCTGCAGCCAAGGGACACGAAGCAGCACCTGGGAGCAGGCAGAAACGCTGCAACAAAAAGGCCATGAAGAAAGGAAAAGCGTCTTGCCCACCTGAAGTGTGACAACACGACGGCAACCACTTCCCCCTACCTCAGCCAGAGCCCGGCATCGCACAGGGACACACATCCCACCAGCCAAGGGGGTGAATGGAATCAGTTTGCCGAGGTGAAAGCCATCCAGCTGGCCTGGAACATTACTGAGCAAGGAAAGTGGACAGTTGCAACAATAGAAACAGAGCAACTGGAAACACAGACGTAAACTCATCTGGCTGCTGCACTGTGACAAGATACCGCTGCCCAGGCGCAGAGCCTGGTGGTGAAGGTACACCATGTAGATGCTCATGTACGCAAGAGTCTAGCCACCGAGGAGCACCAGAACAACCAAAACGTGGATAAAGCTGCTAAGATTGAAGTGGCTCAAATGGACTTACATTGGCAACATAATGGTGAATTATTTTTAGCCACGGACCCATGACACCTCAGCCCATCAAGCGGAGCCTGTGATATCAAGGGACTGACTTAACAATGAACACTACTGCCCAGGTCATTCATGACTGTGAAACATGGGCTGCAATTAAGCAAGCCAAGTGGTTAAAGCCTCTTTGGTATGGAGGACAATAGATGAAGTTCAAATACAGGAAGGCCTGGCAGACTGACTGTATCACACTCCCAGCAACCCGCCAAGACTTAGGCCATGTGCTTACCATGGTGGAAGCAACCACCGGTTGGCTGGAAACATACGCTGTGCCCCACGCCACTGCCCGGAACACTACCCTGGGCCTTGAGAAACAGATTTTGTGGCGACACGGCACCCCAGAATGAACCGAGTCAGGCAATGGGACTCATTTCCAGAACAACCTTATAGACACTTGTGCCAAAGAGCATGGCATTGAGTGGGTATATCACATCCCCTGCCATGCATCAGCCTCTGGTTAAATCAAATGGTACAGTGTGCTCTTAAAAACTACACTGAGAGCAATGGGTGGTGGGACTTTCAAACATGAGGATACGCATTTATCAAAAGCCACCGGGTTGGTCAACACGAGGGGATCTGCCAACAGGGCTGGCCCAGCCCAGTCAGAACTTTTATGTACTGTAGAGGGGAATAAAGTTCCTGTGGTGCACATAAAGAATTTGCTGGGAAAGACAGTCTGGGTTATTCCTGCTTCAGGTAAAGGCAAACCTACTCGTGGGATTGCTTTTGCTCAGGGACCCAGATATACTTGGTGGGTAATGCGGGAAGATGGAGAAGTCCACTGTGTATCACAAGAGGATTTATTTTAACGTGGGGGGAAAACAGCCAATGAACTCTATTACATGCTGTCGCCTGCTATATAACACTTTTATAGCCCATCAGCTAGATGCCCATCTCCACCAATCTGGACTTTAAAAAGAAGATAGGTGCTGTCATGATCATCAGCAGAATACAAAGTCATGGAAAAGCCAGCAGCAGAACTGTCCTCAGGTCACCACTGACTGACCCTGACTTCCCTCCAATCATCACCCCAACAAAGAATGACAAAACTGGAAGAGCTCAGCACTGACCAGATGAGCTCAGCGGTGTCGTCAGCAGGCAACAACCCAACAGTAAACACCATCTCTCCTGCAAGGAAAGACTGTTAGAAGAGATAGATTCAAATACCCTTGCCTTAAATTATGCATCAGCCATGAGAGGGGCAGCCTTCTCCAATCGGCATGGAAGGAGACAGGGACCAGCAAGCCCATGACTTTAAATCTGAGCTCCATCAAACCTCTCTCAGTCCTTACCTAGCTTGAAGGAAGTTGGTGATGCTTTCTTCAAGCAAGAAAACATGAACTCTGTTCTGGGTGGGAAAAGCACATCCTGGTGCATTTTAACAATACTGAAGGCAGGACTGACTTGCTGGGGACCACAGTTGCTGAGACCTGCTGCTGTCTGGCAAGGAGAGGAATCATAAAGCTCTTCAGTAGGAGCTTTAATGTCTTCTGTAGATTTTATTAGGTGACAGAGTTCGAGAGGGCAGGGCAGATGCTCAAGGAGGCATGAAGGGATTTGGAGCAGGGCAGTGGAGAGGAGCTGCAGGGAGCAGGGGCATAGGGGATAGCTGTAGGTCACAAGAGGAACACAGACACACTCAGAGCACCAAATGCCGCTGCCTGACCACAGCATTGAGCAATAGATCCTGCAGCTCTCCATACCAGCACAATGCCACACTAACAGCAGCTCTCCAACAGCCCTGGAGGGAAGAATCAGGGTTCCCTGCAAGAACTGTGCTCCAGCTACCAGGTGAGCCACATTGCACCACTCTCCAGGCATTAAAAGCTATTTACCACTGACCTACAGGTTCAGCAAATTCCCAACCAATAGATCAGAGTCCAACCACAAAAAGAAGGATTCAGGGTCAGGGTTTACACCCTGCCCATGCTGTAAATTCAACACAACCCTTGACAAGTCCCAGACTAGAAGGTAGGGAAGCTAAGCAGCTTAAACAGAAAATAGGTGCCAACATGATCATCAGCAGAGAATATAGTACTGGAAAAGACAGCAGCAGAACTATCCTCAGTTCACCATCGACTGACCCTGACTGCCCTCCGATCATCACCCCAACAAAGAATGAACTTGGATAAAACCAGATGAGCTCAGCAGTGACCAGAGGAGTTCAGCGGTGTCATCAGCAGGCAACAACCCAACACTAAACACCATCTCTCCTGTCCTGAGAGACTGTTACAAGAGAGAGAGCCTGACATCATGGCCTGAATGAATTCAGAAAATTTTACAGGGATGGTCCATAAACTAAGAAATGATATCTCTTTGTGTGTGCGTGTGTGCATGCATATATGAGAAACCAAAGAAACAATAAATTGAAGAACATGGGATCTGAGCATGATGTAAATGGTATGGAATAAGGAGTGGGCATTGTGCTGTGTTCATCTGTAACAAGCACAAGCTGGTGGATTTTGTCGTCCGCTTCATGGAGGAGATCCACAAGAAAATCAGCAAGATGAAGCTGTCAACACCAGGGCCTGCATTCTGGGGGAGGAATTCCTTGAGAACCTGAGGCTCTGGAATGGGAGAAGGCAGATCCCTCATGTTGGGATTTTGGGAGCGGGGTGCGGGCCTCACCAAAGTGCCTTTTGTGCCCAGAGCCCCCAGTCCCATCTGTGGGAACAGCGGTGCCATTGTGCCCAAGACCCTCTCAGAGACAGGGCAGGAGGATGCCCCAGGTTGCTTGCACCCCCTGTGCTGGGGAAGGGCTGGGTTTGAGATGCCAAGAGCACGGTGAGGGGCCTGGCAACAGCCACTGGGGACGCAGCCCCATGGCACACAGGGGCTCACAGCTGCCTCTCTTCTCTTGGCTTACAGTGCCCGGGGCCCATCGAACGCCCGGGTTCCATGGGCGGGGCACACATGGTGACGTTGGACGCCCCGCCCGACTACTCGCGGCCCGCTGTAGCAACCACAAACAGAGAGGGCGGTCCCGACGGTGGGGGCAGGACGTGTGGTGGGAGGAGCGGGAGGGGTGGCCTAAAAAAAGGGGATAAATGGGGGTGAACGGGGCTGGGGGGAGCCCCGGGATGTGGGGCACGAAAGGGTTTGAGGCTTGTATGGGGGGGGGGGATCTCGATGTAAAAGGGTTAATTTCTCTGGGGCCTGCGAGTTTGAGGGGGGAGACACGTGAAATGGGAGGGCTAGTGTTAGCCCCTTCGGGACAGTGGGGCCAGTGCGATGGCCAGGGCTGGTGCAGGAGCTGGGGAGTTCCATGTGCTGGGCCCCACCTCGGTCCCCACAGGGAGGGGGAAACGCTTGGTCCTGGGGGATGAAAAGTCACACCAGCTCCCCTCGCCCTCAGGCTTCGGCTGGAAGGAGTCAATCTCTCTTTGGCACACAGACTCCCCCAGCCTGGCTGGGGGGGGGGGCGACTGCCAGACTAGGAGACGTGTTACTGACGATTTCCACGACAGTTGAAGTGAGGCCTCCGGGCCCTGTGAAGCACCTCTCGGGGTGCACAGTAGCCGGAATTCCGGCACGAATTTCTCTGACTTCGTGTCAGCTGCACAGAGTAGCCCCGGCTCAAGCATGCAGCAGCAGAGAGGTGGGTGCCTTCACCCCTTGTCCTGCTGTCCCTGCCATGGGACTGGGGACACGGGGCCAGCAGCTCAGCCTGGCTTGTCCTTAACAGCTCCTGCCAGCACCAAGCAGCAGCCCGCTGTCAACAAGGAGCTGCTGAAGAGGGCCAGACAGCATGTGAAGGAGGCCATCAAGGTGGGACCCGATTACACGCACACACCCCACAACATGCCATGCACATGCGCCTGTTGCATTTATGGCTGAGCGCTTGTGTCCTTCCCCAGGAGAAAAAGATCTTCTCAGTGCAGGGCCCCTACCCTGTGATGCGCAAACTGCTGCGGGCACGAGGCTGGGTGGAGAAGCTCACCACCACCATCAAGGAGGACACCTGTCCAGTGCAGCAGGAACCAAAAAAGCTGCTGGAGGAGAAGCAGGAGGATGGCAGTGGGGAGGAGAAGAGGGAGGCAGTGCTCCATGCAGAGCCAGGGTCGGTATCCTGTTGGGCTCCGTGCTCGGGCGAAAACCTGGAGCTTCCTGAGGAGGAAGAGGAACAGCAGGAGGAGGTCCCGTGGTATGCTGAGGACCCTGATGGCATCCATGACATCATGGTTAGTGCAGAGGGGCAGCGCTGGACTCCGCAGGGCACAGCCTGGGCAGGGCAGCGAGGGTGGGACAGAGGGACAACTCACTTCAGACCCCTCTGTCCATCCCGTAGTCCTCCATGGTGAAAGACCACCTGCCAACATTCATCTGGACAAACCGCCGCAGTGCCGTACACTACCGGGAGCTCCAGGACCACCAAATGGTAAACCACTTCACTGGCACTGGAGCCTTCACCACCAAGGTGAGAGCCTGGAGATGTCCAGGATAAAGTGTGGGGAATGAACAGGGGTGGCGACGGGTCCAGCACTGACTGCCACCCTTGTCGATCCGCACAGAAGGGGCTGTGTGTCAACCTCCAAAACCTGCCCTCATTCTACCAAGCGGATCCCACCACCTTCTTCCCAAGGTGCTACCAGCTCGGGGATGAGGATGAACGTCAAGCCTTCATCGGTGAGCTGGGGCTGCTGCCCTTCTGCCCCCCCCCCCCCCCCCCCCCCGATCTCCTACATCCCCGAGTGCCCTGGGCAGGAGAGGGTGAGGAAAACACAAATCCTTTGCAGAGGATTTCCGCCTGACAGCAGCTCACAGCCTGCTCAAACTGGCTGTGGAGAAGCCTGGCATCATGCAAGGGGTGATGGAGTCACCTGGCAAGGGGGCAGGTGAGTGTGTGGAGATGGGCCTGGTGGGGATGGTGAGGAGCTCAGGGCCCTGGCTGTGGGCTGAGCCTCTGCTTGGGGCTGTGCCTTGGGACCCTGATGCACCCAAAGCCAAGCATCCCAAGGGTAGCCAGCAGCCATTCCCCTCAGTCCATGCCACTTCCAGCAGGTCCAGTATCCCCATCACCCCCTGAGCTGCTGGAGAAAGCACTGCAGGTCTGCAGGATGCAGCTGGACAGGCTGGAGCACACAGACATTGACAGGGACTCCCCACTGCTCCATATCACCAACGCCAACTGGGACTGCTTCCTGCACGAGTACTACCGTGTGGTGAAGTGTGTCTGGGGGGAGACGGGGGGAGGCACACAGCATGGCAGTGCTGGTGCTGAGCCCCCTGTGTCACCACCCTGCAGCAAGCAATCGAGGCTGGAGGCAAGCATTCCTCAGATAAAACACTGCAGGGCACTGCTACAGAAGCTGCAGGAGCGGCTGCCCCAGCTCCACATGGAGGGCGTTCACAATCTCTGGATAATCAAGCCTGGAGCTATGTCCCGTGGTAGAGGTGAAGGCAAGGGGAAAATGGGGTTTGGGCACAGGCTTCCTGGTGAGGAGGGGTCTCACCGGCACCATGTGACCCCGCTCACAGGCATCACCTGCTCGGCACGGCTGGAGGAGATCCTGGAGCTGCCTGGGAAACCCGCAGCGCCCTCAGCGCAGCCAGGACAATGGATAGTACAGAAATACGTGGAGCGGCCGCTGCTCATCTTCGGCACCAAGATTGACCTGCGGCAATGGATCCTGGTGACTGACTGGAACCCGCTGACCATATGGTTCTACCGGGACAGCTACGTGCGCTTCTGCTCCCAGCCCTTCTCCCTGAGCCACCTACACGCGTGAGTGCCCCCCACCCTGGCACAGCACACCCCACATCCCAGCACCCTGTTGACCCATCTCTGCTCTCCCCACACCAGCTCCCGGCACCTCTGCAATGTGTCCATCCAGAAGCAGTGGAGGCAGGCTGCAGGCCGTAACCCCAATCTGCCCTGTGACTTGATATGGTCCAGCCACCAGTTGCAGCTTCACCTGCAGCAAGTGGGGCACACGGAGGCCTGGGAGAACGTGATCGTGCCAGGCATGAAGGAGGCAGTGGTGGCTACCCTGCACAGCTGCCGGGAACTGGTGAGGGACCGGAAGGACAGCTTTGAGCTCTATGGGGCCGATTTCATCTTCGGGGAGGATTGCCAGCCGTGGCTGCTAGAGATCAACGCCAGTCCCACCATGGCGCCCTGCTCAGCAGTGACCCGACAGCTCTGCGCTGCCGTCCAGCGTGACATACTGCGTGTGGTCCTGGACCACAGGGAGAACCACAGCTGCTCCACTGGAGCCTTTGAACTCATCCACAAAGAGGTGGGTTTGGAGGGGCTGTGGGATAGGCTGCTCTCTGCTCCCAAGGAACAAGCAATAGAACAAGAGGAAACAGCCTCAAGCTACAGCAGTGGAGGTTTAGGCGGGGGATTAGGAACCATTACTTCCCCCAAAAGAGTGGTCAAGCATTGGAACAAGCTGCCCAGGGAAGAAGGAGGTCACTGTCCATGGAGGGGTTCAAAACCTGTGTAGAAAAGGCCCTTAATGACATGAGTTAGTGGTGACTTAGGCAGTGGTGGGGAACAGTTGGACTTGATGATCTTAAGCTCTTTTCCAACCCAGTTGTTTCAATATCTCCCTGCAGCCCATCGTGCCAGTGCCTCCCTGCCTGGGACTGAAGCTGCTGGTGGAAGGCTACTCGCTAATGAAGTTCCAGTTGCAAAAACAACAACCCCAGGACAAACTCCCCACCACCCTGCCTCTTGTCTGCCCGGTGGTGCCCAAGTCACTGGTGGTGGCCAAACCACTTATGAACACCAAATCATCTGTGGTGCCCATGTCTCCCGTGGTACCCAGGCCTCCTGTGGTGGCCAAACTACTTATGGACAAGCAACCCATGGTCACTAATCGGTCTATAGTGCCCAAGCCTCCTGCAGTGCCCATGCCTCCAGTGGTCTCCAAACCACTTACGGACGCCAAGCCTCCCATGGTGCTGAAGACTCCTGAGGTGCCCAGGCCTCCAGTGGTGGCCAAACCTCTTATGGACACCAAGCCTACTGTGGTGCCCAGCCCTCCGGTGGTGCCTAAGCCACTTACGGTCACCAAGCCTCCTATGGTCACCATGCCCCCTATAGAGCCCAGGTCTCCTACAGTGTCAAGGCCTCCTGTGATGTCCAAGTGGGGCACAACCACTCAGCTCCCACCCCCTGGAGAAGCACAGGTCAAGGTGGTTCCTCTGACGCAATTGCACTTCTGCCTCTCCTCCGCCTCTGCCCCCCAGGCACCACCACAGCCAAACCCCCTGCTCCAGTGGCGTCAGGCCACTCTGAGCAAGCCTGGGGCTACTGTCCTGACAGGGAACCCGCACAAGCGGCCGCAGTCCCACCAACAACCCTGCCTGCATGTCCTGGGCAGCAGAGCCGTGCTGCAGCCGAGGGACACGAAGCAGCACCTGGGAGCAGGCAGAAACGCTGCAACAAAAAGGCCATGAAGAAAGGGAAAAGCGTCTTGCCCACCTGAAGTGTGACAACACGACGGCAACCACTTCCCCCTACATCAACCAGAGCCCGGCATCGCACAGGGACACACATCCCACCAGCCAAGGGGGTGAATGGAATCAGTTTGCCGAGGTGAAAGCCATCGAGCTGGCCTGGAACATTACTGAGCAAGGAAAGTGGACAGTTGCAACAATAGAAACAGAGCAACTGGAAACACAGACGTAAACTCATCTGGCTGCTGCACTGTGACAAGATACCACTGCCCGGGTGCAGATCGTGGTGGTGAACGTAACACCGTGTAGATTCTCATGTACGCAAGAGTCTAGCCACCGAGGAGCACCAGAACAACCAAAACGTGGATAAAGCTGCTAAGATTGAAGTGGCTGAAATGGACTTACATTGGCATGAATTATTTTTAGCCATGGACCCATGACACCTCAGCCCATCAAGCGGAGCCTGTGATATCAAGGGACTGACTTAACAATGAACACTACTGCCCAGGTCATTCATGACTGTGAAACATGGGCTGCAATTAAGCAAGCCAAGTGGTTAAAGCCTCTTTGGTATGGAGGACAATAGATGAAGTTCAAATACAGGAAGGCCTGGCAGACTGACTGTATCACACTCCCAGCAACCCGCCAAGACTTAGGCCATGTGCTTACCATGGTGGAAGCAACCACCGGTTGGCTGGAAACATACGCTGTGCCCCACGCCACTGCCCGGAACACTACTCTGGGCCTTGAGAAACAGATTTTGTGGCGACACGGCACCCCAGAATGAACCGAGTCAGGCAATGGGACTCATTTCCAGAACAACCTTATAGACACTTGTGCCAAAGAGCATGGCATTGAGTGGGTATATCACATCCCCTGCCATGCACCAGCCTCTGGTTAAATCAAATGGTACAGTGTGCTCTTAAAAACTACACTGAGAGCAATGGGTGGTGGGACTTTCAAACATGAGGATACGCATTTATCAAAAGCCACCGGGTTGGTCAACACGAGGGGATCTGCCAACAGGGCTGGCCCAGCCCAGTCAGAACTTTCATGTACTGTAGCGAGGGATAACGTTCCTGTGGTGCACATAAGGAATTTGCTGGGAAAGACAGTCTGGGTTATTCCTGCTTCAGGTAAAGGCAAACCTACTCGTGGGATTGCTTTTGCTCAGGGACCCAGATATACTTGGTGGGTAATGCGGGAAGATGGAGAAGTCCACTGTGTATCACAAGAGGATTTATTTTAACGTGGGGGGAAAACAGCCAATGAACTCTATTACATGCTGTCGCCTGCTATATAACACTTTTATAGCCCATCAGCTAGATGCCCATCTCCACCAATCTGGACTTTAAAAAGGAGATAGGTGCTGTCATGATCATCTGCAGAATACAAAGTCATTTAAAAGCCAGCAGCAGCAGATCTGTCCTCAGGTCACCACTGACTGACCCTGACTTCCCTCCAATCATCACCCCAACAAAGAATGACAAAAATGGAAGAGCTCAGCACTGACCAGATGAGTTCAGCGGTGTCGTCAGCAGGCAACAACCCAACACTAAACACCATCTCTCCTGTCCTGAGAGACTGTTACAAGAGAGAGAGCCTGACATCATGGCCTGAATGAATTCAGAAAATTTTATAGGGATTGGTCCATGGGCAATGGAATGCTCTCTCTTTTTTGTGTGTGGGGTGCGTATAGATATTTGTGTGTATATGTATATATACGTGTGTCTCTCTCTGTATATATATGAGACAAAAAGCAACAGTATATTAAAAAATGTGGGATCTGAGCATGACGTGAATGGCATGGAATAAAGGGCAGATGCTGTCCTGTGTTCAGTAGTAGCAGTGATTTTTCACCTTCTTAGTAGTTGGTGCAGTGCTTTGTTTTCAGCTTTAGTTTAGGAACAGTGCTTATAGCACACCAATGTTTTTAGTTGTTGCTAAGTAATGTTTACTCCTATCAAGGACTTCCTCAGTCTCATGCTCTGCCAGGGAGGAGGGGAAGCCAGGAAGAAGCAGAGATAGGACCCCTGACCCAAACTACCGAATGGGGTATTCCACACCACAGCACGTCATGCCCAGTATAGAAACGGGGGGAGTTACCCGGAAGGCCTAGATCACTTCTCGGTCAGGCTGGGTATCAGTCCGTGAGTGCTTAGCAATATTCTCTAGCCCTCTTATTTTCCCTTATCATTGTTATTGGTGGTAGTAGTAGTACTTTTGTGTTATACCTTAGTAACTGGACTGGTCTTATCTCAAACCTTGGAATTTACATTCTTTCAATTATCCTTCCCACCCCTTCAGGAGCTGGGAGAACAAAAGTTGGGAAGTGAATGAGCAGCTGTGTGGTTCTGAGTTACCAGCTGGGCTTAGACCATGGTACCAAGTCTCTCTGCTTCCTAATTTGAGGCCATATGTTGTGCTGATCACCTGTAGAAAGGTTTGTTTATCCCATAGTGAGGAAATACAAGTGTAGCCACAGAAAAGAGAGGAAGAGGTTTATATTAAACTGGAGACTGCTCTAAACTTACCAAGATCTTGAAAGCAGAGCCTGTGATGGTCAGCCAACAAGACAAGCAGTTACCAAGACTCATGTAGTTGGAAGTTACACACGCACTGTTTTTCAGAGTAACCAAGTCAAAAGCAACTTGTCTGACTAGAAACACTGATCAGACCAAAAGGGAGAAGGTGGTTGGGTAACTGAGGATTGATTAGGTGCAACAGGTTAGCATGGGAAGAGATGTTTCTGACTGAAAGGGAGTGACTGGTAATTTATCATCTATGGAACATGGAGAGATTAGTGGAGCAAAAGAGAGAAATCACAACTGATAGGTGGTTGGCCTCCCTTCTAACTATTTTGGCTTTTATGCCAAAGTTCCATCCTGTTACTTCACCATGTTGTTGTTCTTCCCAACCACACTGAAAGATTCATTCGTATAACAAAGAAATGAACATAAAATAGAAATAGCTAGCACTCCAGCTAATGACAACATGCTGACTGGTACCTACTCCTACCATACAGAATCGGAGGTTAATATTAAATAGCTCTCACACATCATTGATGAAGGAGATATTAACTGAAATGTGACCTTTTTTAGGTCTTTTGTATTCTCCTTTCATAACCCAGTTGCTGAGATCAGATGTTATCTGGTGATAGTAGCAGCTTTGTCAGAATGCTGCTACATGCTCATTTTTCCAGTATATCACCCCACCTCCCCACTTTGGCCAGAATAAAGGTTGCCAATGCCTGAACTATACAGCAGAGATGTCTGCCCTTGGTTGCTCCTGTGTAGGCCTCATACTCATTTTCAAAGCTTTATTCTGGTTTGCTCGCAGTGACATCAGCGTGTCAGCAGCTGCTGCCCCAGGGCTATGCCATGCAGGTATTTGCAAGAGTTCTGCAGACTATAGGCTGGACCAGGAAACCCTCAGACTATTGATGCCTTATGCAATAACAGGAATTTGAAATGGTAAGCACTCTTTATGAATGAGACAAAGTTGAACCATTTACATGCTTGCACACTATTACAAATACAGAAATACCCACCAATGCCTTGTAAAGATTTACCCATAAAGGATACAACATACTAGGGTTTCAAATAGAGTGACACCTTGCAAGATTAAAAAGAATAATAATAATCATCATAGATTAAAATGCTCTCTGCATTTTTCTGGCTACTCCAGAATTCCTGTTAAATATCTCAACATGTTAAGATGTTAGAAGTGGCTGAGATTTCTAAAGAAGGTGGGTTTGGGTGCCTGACAAGAGTCCCTGATAGAGGTTAATGATTTTCACGTGATGCAGCTCCCTCCTCTCTGCAATTTGAGTCTATTAAGCAAAGCACCTCAGGTCACCAATCACCATTCAAAATCCTGGCTGTCCATCACAGCACAAATTTCATAAAGAGAGGAAAAACTTCATCACAAAATATGTAAATAGGCCCAATAAATTTGGTCCTAGGACTTGTCTTTTAAAGTCAAAAAACTATTACTGCCAGCCTCTTTGCAGGGGCTATAAGAGATAATTATTTTCCCCTGTAATGGTTCTGACATAAAGTGTGTATCAAAAACTGCATACTCTTCATATCCATCCAGCTGTGTTAAGCAATAAACATGATAATTATGCAGATAAGGCTTAAATAAATTCCTATACCTAAGGGCAGCCGAATGCTTTTTTAAGCAAAACAATAATTAACCCTCCATAGGGCTGAGTGAGCACAGACCTTTGCTCCTTCCCAAGGTGGGAAACCTGCATCCTCGCACCTCCCAGACATCTGTCATAGCTATAAATGGGTCAGTCTACTTCAGAGAAAACAGCTCCAGGGCTATTCCTTGTGAGGTTCCAAAAGAGGTCAAGAACAACAAGATCTACTAGCTTCTCTATCCTGACGTTGGGATTTGAGGTGTTTCAGACAAATGTCAAAGAAATTGCAGGGAAAGGGAAAGAGCATAAAACGCCAGTGGAATTGCTCACTGAAAAACAAAGAGGAGGCATGAGCTCAGCAGTAAATGAAGACTCTTGCATTAAACTGAGAAGCTTAAGGGCTCAGAACTATGATCAAGCTATTGCAGTGTAACGAGTTCCCACACATTGGCTGATCTGCAGTAACTGCTCATATGCGCACTAACATCAAAGATGAAGATGTGTTTATCTTAACCTCTTTCATTTGGTTGAGGCTAATATGTTTTGCTCTGCATCTGTGACAAGCTGAGCATCTATATGAATTACTACTGGTTGAAGCAGCCTGTAAACTGTGCTGATGGCAGCTCTGGTCTGATAGAATGAGCAAAATCAGCTCCCTAGCTTTTACATGGCCAGTCACCAGCCTATTGCAATGCCTTTGTGGCTACCCTCACCATTGTATGTGACTACTGCAGTTATAAAGTCTTTCAATATAGAGACTGTGTGGTCATAAAGATGTTATTCAGTTACAAACTGAATGCTGAATTAAATGGTTTGCCAGACTGTTCCATAGCAAATGATGCTAATAAATCCT